TACTAGTATATATATATATATATATATATATGTGTGTGTGTGTATGTGTGTGTGTATGTGTATGTGTGTGTGTGACTATACATGCATATATAAAATACTCAGTACTTAAGCAATCAACCCCTCTTTCCTCCACCGTGGCAGCAAGGAGAAACCGAAGAAGATCATGCGCGACCTCTTCAAATTCAGGGAACATGACAAGGACACCAACCACCACCACCACAGCCACGAGAAACCCCACACCAACGAGAGAGCCGATGCGAGTAGCGAGAAGGGTGGTACAGCGAAGGCAAATAGTCGCCACGCCAACTGTGCGGAGACGGGTAGCATCAAGGACCCGGAACACCCAACAGACGACCACACAGACAACCCAGACCGTGCCTTACATCCAAGCCCAGACGCAGACACGCATATGCATATACACACACATACACTTACACACGCGCACACATACACACAAGCACAAGCACACGACAGGGAGACAGACCCGCTTGCCGACATCTCCGACAGCAACACCACCACTAGCTTATCCAAAGGAGGTCCCGCACGCGCCCGTTATGCACAGGCAGGCGAATGTGTGCAGTGTGATGCGGAGTGTGAGAGCGATGCGTTGCTTAGCAACGGCGAAGACGATGACGACGGCGACGACTACTCCGAAGATTCGCTGCTGGGCGAGGCTTTTGTGTCGATAGAGTACATGTACCTGGACATTGGAGAGGCACAGAAGTATAAGAGCTATCCTCAATGGGTGGGCAAGGTGTGTTGGGGCCGTGGGCATAGATGTATGTGTAGGTGTATGTTTAGGTGTATGTTCATGTGTAAGTGTATGTGTATGTGTATGTATACGTGTATGTTAGTGTACACGTGCGTGTATATGTGCGTCGGTACATGTGTGTGTGTGCGTATTTGAAATAGTACATCTCTGTATCGCTGTGTATAGGATGTTCGCATTTATATATATATATATATATGTGTGTGTGTGTGTGTGTGTGTGTGTGTGTGTGTGTGTGTGTGTGTGTGTGTGTGTGTGTTATATATATATATATATATAAATATATATATATATTCGAGTATGTCAAGCGGCACACCATGATGCGAATTTTATATTTCTGAAATGGGTGTAGCCTTGCAATGTATTGATATTGTCAGTGTTTACCAATCAATCTGATTGCTTCTCCGGACTATATCTCTATAGCTGTCAACGGTTTTACAGACCTTACGAAGTAATGCGAATGGCGCGAAGAAGCCGGCGTCAGATCTCAAACCACAACACGCCGCACACTCAGCCTCAGCCGATGGTACCACGACCACTACGCATGGCACATCAGGGCTGGACGAGGCCGATGCAGACGGTAAGTAGGTCTATATAGTAAGTCTGTAATTTGGTTAAGTACTCAGATGCTACGCATGTATGGAGCTACAGGGTGTTGGTCGCCCCTGGTGTAGGTAGTCGCCGTAGTTGGTAATAAGAGTTTTGTGCGCCGAACCGGACAGATGCATATAAGTGAACAAATTGAAGTTATAATCACCTCAAGCTGCGGGACTTGTTTATTCCATCTGTGGGTCTTAGCCCCGATGCATACTGTGAGAGACGTGAACTGTCTGTATGACAGTACAGTGCATCGTTTGTGGAACTATTCTTAATGATTGCAATGAAAGTCTCACGCTTAGGGGCACCGCTTTGTTACACCACACTGCAGCAATACCACTTATTCCATCTCACAAAGTCTTTCCTATACCCACCTTGCTCACAGATGATTTAGACTTCCTGGAAGACTCAGACCTACTGGCCCTTCTCGACAGTGCGACACCCTCAATCTCTCGGGCCGACGGTGCCACCGCCAAGCCTATCACTGTATGTGAAAGTTCGGTATCACTTGCAAGTTCTGTTCCATTCTGACTCTACCAGTATGCATGAAGCTTATACGATATCCTCAGTCTCAACGCATAGCCGAGAGCTTTGGAACTCCAGTGTGGTGACATTCCTACCAGTCGTAGAAAGTTTACGAACCGGTAAATCAACGTGGCATTACATTTAACGTATTATGTGTTGATAAATACAGCCGTATACTGATATTGTGCGGGAGCGAAGAGGACTGTTGCCGCTGCGCTATTGTACTGTTACATTGAGAGTCGCCGTTTGAGTCATTTCATTTGAGCTATTTGGTGCTAGTTGATCGTTCACTCTACCATTCTCTCTCTCCCGGTATCCTCGATTACATTTTATTCCCGCCTTCTATCGCGCAGACTCAGACCAGTAGTAAACGCAAGTCCGACGACACACAGAAAGAGAATATTTGTCCGGTGAGAGCCAAAACACCGCGTCAGTCACCGGAGCGAAGCCGTACGCAGCGCAACACCCCCCACGGCGCGCCGTACCAAAGCGATGGACGTCAGGCACACACAGAACAGACCCATTCAAACAGGCAGATAACTCGCAGCTATGTAGGACACAGTCACAGTCAAAGCAATGAATCGGTGGATGGATGTGTTGGAAGGGGCCGGGGAGATGATGGAGGCGCACTAAGAAGTGGGGATGTAAGGACTCAGAACGTGCATGCACCGCATCGGCAGCAACAGTCACACCCACAACGGACACTGCCACAATCACAAATGAGAGAACAGGCACGGGCACGAATACAACAACAGCCACAGACATCCACACGGGAGCAAACGCAAACACAGCCGGCAAACGGCCCGCTACACAGCCCTCTGTCACAACAGCAACCACACCACATACGGCGGCAGACGAAACATTCAACGCCGCCGCAATTACAGGCACGGCGACGAACTCAACCACAGCAACAAGCACAACATAATCCACAGATGAATGGGTCGCTAGAAATTCTCCTGTCCCAGCCACAGACAACCGTTCGCCAAAGCACTACCACGCCGCAGGACTGTCTCGCAACCCCGAACACGCCGGCTGTGTATAGTCAAGGCCTACAGCACTTACTGCGCACCAGGGGGAGTGACGGGGAAGGCCCCGGACACACACTACACAACTCACAGTCCAACGTATCTCTTGCAGGGCAGCGCTCGGGAAAGCCCTCACAACAGCGAACACACTCCAGTCCACACACCCAGCAGAACGGGATAGGCACGCGCCAGAATACCTCAAGGCAGCTGTGTGTGTACCCACAGGAGCCGACGCGCGCTGAGGGTGGTTGCTTGGATACGCTCGTGCGGAAAGGTGCCGAGATACCCTATAGTTCTCATAGTAGCCGACCACCGGCATCGTTCAGGGCTCGAGGGACTCATGGCGCTGCAAATATAGAAACGGGTAGGTATCAGCAACATATACTTATTTGTAGAGAGAGTGGTGTCACGCAAGCACTTATCCGCTTGCGTTTCCGAGGACGCGTTCGATGTGCATTGCCGGTGCACACATGTTGGTAATAAGGTGTTGCTGAACTGGTATTGAACGCAGACCAGGTGGATGTAGTATATTTCTAAAGCCACAGGGATTTGAGTATCTTGTGTTGCTGTACATGTATCAATAATTTTGTCAGGCAGTGGCTCGAAAATTGCTCACAGATACGGCTATATATATCTTATCTATGCAAGCCTACGCCATGTATATTCATTGTAGAATAAGACTGCACTTGCGGTTTCTAAGCTCAACGGGTCGTGAATAGTTAGTCACGCCCTGAATCTTTCAAACATCGCTCATATATAACATGTCATTTATTTATTTTCTCCTCGTTCAGGCTGTGTGTCAGGGTCACGCCACCAGAAATATCTGCAACCTACCGGAAACATCACAGCCGAGTTAGTCACAGAATCGACCAGGACTGAAACGAATACACACAATCTCATATCGGCGCCTAGATCTGAGAACAGGGTCACAAATGCCCCAAATTCTGGCACGAGGCCAAGCTCCGGTCCTATCACATCAGGTGGGAGTGGCGCAAAGTATTATAATCTACTCTTAGATGGTCCACGTTCATCATCGACAACACGCACCGATGTCCGAGAAGATGAGCCCGGTATCGTATCAGATTGTTGCAAATTGTGTAAAGATTGTACGCAAATGTGCTCGTGTATCATATGACTTGAGCTTAGGAAGCGTAGGTATGCAGACAAGCCTCTATTATAGCCCTTCATTGTGCCTATTTCTACAAATACATAT